TACCCTGTCCGATCGCGCGCACGCGGATCGCCCACGTGGCCCGTCCTGTGTCAGTGTTTCCTTACCACGCGGCGTGTCCTAGTTGGCCGGGGCTGCTGATCGAGCTGCTGACGTGGCACAACTTTTTCAAATTGTGTTTTGACCCCCGGTTTCCGATTTTCTTTTCAAAAACACCCCCATAATCTAAATTTTCATCCATTTTTCCAAAATCAATTTCAATTAAATCCAAAAAATAATTTTACCCTATTTTATCATTATTTTTATTTTTATTTTCATTAAATTAAATTAAATTAAATTAAATTAAAATCTTATAAATTAAATATATAAAAAATTAAACTAAAATTCAAATACAAAAATAAAAATAATAATTTGGGTGTTACAAGGTATCCTTCCCGAATCAGCATTTCGAAACGTCGCGCTGTCTGTTACGCCTCATAACGGATACAAAATTTTTTGAACTTTTCATATAGAATCCAAAACACTTGTCACACCTATAAATACTACAGAAACTCAAAATCGGTACCCAAAACTCTTTCCGGCCAATTTTGGAGTTCCAGCATGGCGGCGGCGCCGTGCTCTAGTGCTGGCTCCGCTGTCCATGGTGATGGTTCATCTCAGCCTGGCCGGTTTTCGTTGATTTTGGCTGTATGCCTACAGAAAAATACGTTAGGGGCTTCGGTTAGCCGAAAAATCACAAAAAATCGAACCTATCAGTAGAGGGAACCTCCATATGTGGCGACTCCGCCGGTCCTCTTTCGCGGCTGAGGTTTTTTCTTCGTTTAACTTGTACAGAAAAGGACGGTGAACATAATGATCGAAAAATTATGTGAAACAGGAATCGAGAAGGCTCGTCGGGAGAATTTTGGAGTTTTTGCTGTGGCAGCTTCGCCGAACTTTACCCGCAGTTTCCAGCTCACCCACCGTTCCTCTTGCTCTTATTTGGCGACATGGGTGCTCAAATCGAATTCCGAGCGGGTAGAAAAAAATTTTATTTTTTTTGGCAGTCAGCGGTGGCTCTGGTGCGGCGGCAGTTGGTGGTCGGCCTTCTTCTCCGGCGTCTAGTTATTCTTTTCCGGCGAGGGCTGACGCCTAGGGTTTGGGTTTCTGTGTGATGCGAAGTATTTATACTCATCACGCGTTGATCTGAACCGTTCATCGCGATCGATCTCGTCTGTCCGATCGCGCATAAAGAGAGATGAATCTGGAACGTCCATCGCGATTTGATCTCGACTGTCCGATCACGCTTAAGGGAGAAACGAATCCGAACCGTCCACGCACGCAGAATTGATCATGGGCTGTCCAATCGCGAGGCACGCGGATCGCCAACGTGGCCTCCCACGTGGCACCGATGTCAGCGTGCCTCACCACGCAGCGTGCTCCGGTTCGTCGGGACTGCTACGTGGCCGAACTTTTTCTATTTGTATTTCAACCCCTTGTTTCTAATTTTTCTTTCAAAAACACAATCTGAACCCAAATTTTGACTCATTTTTTTCAAAATTATTTTCGATTATATCCATAATATATTTTTTCAATAAATTCAACAAAATTAAATTAAATTAATTTAAAAATAAATTTTTATTTATTTTTAAATTATTAAAATTGATCCCGAACTAAATTTCGGGCTCAAGTATTACATAAATTCTTGTGAAATAAATTTCCCACCGCGATTAGTGCGAAGAACTTTTATTGGGCTGCCAAATTCTTTCTCAACAAGTACTTTAAAAGTTTTAAATGCTGCAGATGCTTCAGATTTTTTTTGCAAAAAATACGCCCATATTTTTTTTGACTAAAATCATCAATGAAGGTTATAAAATATCTTTTACTACCGCTGGAACTCGATTTTATTGGTCCACAGAGATATGAATGAACCAATTCCAGCACTTTCTTTGATCTCCATGATTTGCCTTGTGGAAAAGGATTGCGGGGTTGGTTGCTAACAACACAATTTTCACAAATTTCAGAAGAGGATGCAGTAATTTGAGGAAGCCCGACCACCATGTTCTCTTAATGAATCTTTCCGGCACATGCTTCACTATAACTAATTCCAGCTTTTTTATTTTTATTTTTTGCTCTCCATGATTTGCCTTGTGGAAAGGGATTGTGGCGTTGCTCGCTAACAAGACAAATTTTTACAAATTTCAGAAAGGGATGCAGTAATTTGAGGAAGCCCGACCACCATGTTCATTAGAAATTGCTTGACTGACACGTGTTGTTGCTGCTGCTGCTACAAAATTCTTGATAAAAGTTACACAATTAGCTGCTCAAAATTCATGTCCTATTTTTTTTTTAATTGGATGTCAAATCGGCTTTCTTGCATGAAGACTTAGATGAACATGTATTTGTTGATCAATATAACCAAATCAATATTGTAAAATTGATAATTTAAAGAATTATTTGATACATATAAAATTAAAATACAATTATAGAGACTCATTTATGACTTAAAATAATCACTATTTTGGACAACTGATATGGATTTATAATTTAGATTGAAAATAGATATTAAAAAATATACTTCCAATATGATTCTACATAACTCTTAAGGTATATATAGTTTTTTTTTTTTTTTTTTTTTTTTTTTAAAAAAAAAAAAAAAAACGGCATCTAATTAATGTTTATTCAAGGCAAACGGGACCAAAAAATTCAATTAAATATTTTAGCCAAAATTTTGAATTCTGGGTTACCCGGAAGGAGGGTAAAACCCAAAAGGCGGAAGAAAAAAAAAAAAAAAAATTTTCAAAAACCAAACGGGAAAAAAATCAATAATATTTAAAGTTGTTGAAAATACAAAAATCTGAAAAGAAGAAAAAGGAAAGTCCAGGTGCCCCCCTTAAAACTGGAGTCTTCGAACTGCGTTTATAGCGAAAAAGGGAAAGTAATTTCACCCTCCTCTTCAAAAGTCAAACATACCCACACAAAAATCTTGAATTTTTAGGGTTTTTGAACGTGAAAATTTCTTGGAAGATTTCCTTTTTTTTTGACATATCCTTGTTTAAGGCTGCCTATCCAATTTCATTAAGAAACTTTTTCAATACATGAAGCTCAATAGAAAATGGATCTTCTCAATCGAATATCTCTGATACTCACCTTTCCAGTATCCAGAACTAATATCTCCAAATAAAAAAGTTCTTCGGTATCTCTCCAACTACCCACCACCAGGCTTCCATCTCTTTTTAGGAGATAACTTGTCTCTCACAAGACAAAATGAATCCTCTTAAAAGCCTTTAAGCTCCTTACAAGGAATTCTTAATAATGCTTCATGTTTTTTATTATGCCCATTAACAATTTAAGCAGAGACATCCAAGAAACATGCAACATCACTAATGTCTATTTAACCAAGGTCAGTCTTGCTCCAATTGAGAGGTGTTTTGCCTTCTGCAATGATTTTTTCAAACATCGATTGCCACGTAGCTTTAAGGTATTCTTAGATACGTGTAAGAGATGGAGCCCACCGGATATTTGATCCCTTCTTTATGTCACTACGACTACCTAGCCCCAAGCTTCCAACTCTTTTTGGGAGAAAAACCACCTCCCCTGCATCAAAATGAATCTTCCTAGAAGCTTCTAAACTACTCCACAAAAAAATTATTAATAATGTTCTCCATGTTTTTTGTTATGCCCATTGATAATTTAAGTAGAGACGTGAAAAAGACAAGTAAAATCATTAATGTGTATCTAGCTAAACTCTTGCCCTAACTGAGAGATCATTCACTTTCCACAATAATAATATTTTCTTTGTTTTTTTCAAAACATTGACTGTCATGCAGTAATTTATTTCAAATTAACACCCAATGCGTTCCTTGATTACGTGTAAGAGAGAAAGTACACTTGATATTTGTTACTCCTAACAGATTCTTTAATCCACCCATCATTAACACCATCCAAATTAAGTTATTTTTCATAGTTAATTTTAAGTTTCAAAGCTAGCTCAAACTATTTGAAAAATTCTTTTTATAACTAATATTTCATCAACCTTTAACATTACAAGAGATCAAGTTATCATTAACAAACTGCCACGGATATAACCTATGGTTATTACTCCTTAAAAAATACCCAAAACTAAACTTAATGCTAGAGCCTTGTGAAAAACACAAGCTAAACCTTCTCCTATTAAGTCAAACAGAAAGGGTGATGTATGATCACCTTGCATGAATCCTTTCTCATCGAAAATTCCACTTTTTCTATTTTTTGTTAAAATTCATTTTCCTCATTATTTGATCTAAGACAGACCATTCAATTGTAACATAAGCTCCCAAAATCAATCTTCAACATATATCTTCCGGCCTTCCATGCTTCAATAGATTCTGTACCTCGGAAGCATTAGAACGACATCCAACATTTGCCTCAGTTTACAAGAGAAAATTAAGATCTTCTGAAGAAACTTTATTACTTTCCTCAGCTTCCAGCAAGGCCAACATACCCACACTCCATCTAATCTCCGTGACTTAATGAAAATATTAACTTTTTTATATCTTTTTTAAACCATTTTACCCTCTACCCCCAAGAGTCACCATAATTCCTAAAATTTTGACCTAATCTTGTCCCAATTCCAATTATCTCTATGCAACTAATCCTGTCTTCTTGCTCCTATCTTCTTGTCGCCTTACCCACTTCCTCTGAAGAAACCTAATCTTATAACTAACTAAACTCACATTTCTCTTCTTCCGAATTCTAGCCTTATTCTTTTACCACTTCGATTTTTGAGCAATCTTTAAACTCTTCACCTGTTTTAACACTAAAATATTCCATTTTTCCTTCGTGAAGACCTTAAATAATTACATTTCTACAGTCACATTAAACAGACACAAAGGTTCACAAAGTATGTACTATGATTGATGCATATGTGTTCTTGTTAAGAGGATGTATTACGATTGATGCATATGTGTTACCTAATTAATAAAATATTTATATTTTTATCCAAAATAAAAGAAAAGAATATACTCATAGGTAAAACTTTAGCATGGTAAAATGTTACAGCTGCAGATAGATATAGCATTCACTTTCTAAATCAAATGGAAAATTCAACAAATAAAAAAAGTTAAAGGTAAGTGCAGGTGATGTAGTTTATCAAAAGAAAAGAAGTGCAGCTGACCTGGTTTTGAGCTGCTGAATATAATGTTTAATATTGGTCTTGTTCAAGTAAATCAGACAACCCTTGGAAGAAAAAAAGTAAAATTCCAAAAGAAACCTCAGATTGCAGGAGCTGGGACATCTTTGACAGATTCCCGCCAGGCATATTCTCTTGCTCCATCTTTATCGACAATCTTGATCACAAAGTTTGGTGGTGCCACAACTAACCTAGACCGAATCTCCATTATGCATTTGTCAACTAAATCGATTGCTTCTTCTAGTGACATGCCGCTGTGGTAGTGTCTATCCATCATGGAGAGCGAAAAATAGGAGCCATAACCGAATGCTGCCTTGTCAACCTTGTGAAGGGTAGCAATATAATCAATGTAGTAGAGAGAAAGACCAGTCCCCTTGTCATAGCCAGCCATAAGAATGTTCACAAAGTATGGATTCTGAAAAACCAGATGTTGCAATCAGATATCTTGCATTTGTATGCTAATTATAAAAGATATTTATGTGAGTATAACTAGTAGGTCCCATGCCAAGTAGTTAGGTGAACAGATAAAAGGTAGAAACAAACAAGAATTTTGTAATTAATAACAGTAGAAAAACGAATTGCAAGTAAAATTAGGTAGTCTGCGTGTTACTCGGTTCACTTCAAGCCTTCAAATATCAGCCACTTAAATTTCTATTCATTTGGATGCCTCCGTACTAGTCAGGCAAAAGGTCAGAGTACCTTCTGCACTCTTTTCGTTCCAATTGTACATGATATTTTGCGGTATCCAACAAAAAATTCATGCTTAGTTCTCATATATATTATTTTCAGGATAAACTACAGTTTCGCAGCTCCCTGCGAAACTCAATTTCTATTCACTTGCAAGCCTCCCACTAGTCAAGAAAAAGCTGTGAGGACCTTGCTCTACTCTTTTCATTCCAAATGTGCATGAGATTTTGCAAGAGAAAAACAGTGCATGCTTATGTTCATTTATATAGTTTTTGTAATAAGTTACATTTTTATTCTCTGTGATTTGACTTTATTGCAATTCAAACCCTCTAGTTTGTTTTTTGATAACTAAGTCCTATGATTTGATCTTCTTACAATATATAAAATCATCAGTTTTTAAAACTATTATCTTACAATATTTTGGTATTCTTCCTGTAATTTTAATTTGTTTATCCTTGAACATTCACTTGTTCGCATTTAGAAGTTTAGACGTGCAGATGTTCTCTAAAAAATTAACGATCTCATGTAATATATCAAAAAATCAAACGACTGAACTGTCACAAAAAGATCACAATATTTTAATTACAAGAAGACCACACAGCCAAAAGTAAAACCGTACTGTCCTAATGTTCATCTTTTATTTGGTTTCCTTCACATTTACATGTAGTTTTTTGTTTTTTATTTAATGAAACATCTTATATATAGTTTTACTTGTGAGCTTAGTTGAACTGGGTTGCTCTGAGGTATGAACTAGCATGTGTCAATGCCAAGGTTTGAGTAACCAGCCACTACATGTTTACATTTTCAATCAAATGAAGATAGCGGGACAAACACTAGATAGCATTTACAGATATGTGGACCAATAAAACTGATGGGAATGACAGCAAAAAGTGAGAAACTTAACTACAAAGATAGCTGTTATAAAACCACGTCATAGTGCAGAATTTGAAGGCAAAGTTTACAAGAGATTTTCTCATAGCACGGATAGGACCTACTCATATATCTCAGTCATTTTTTTTTTCTTTGAGAAATATTTCCTTTTCAATATTTAATGTAATATGTGTTGTGTCAATAAATAGTATGTTAACTAAAATTAGTAGTGCGTTGAACTTTTCAGTTTCCAGGAAAGTTTGAATTTTTCTAAGGCAATTATCTATTGTAACAAACTGCTCCTACCTTCTTGGTAGCAGCTATTCTATAATCCTGGTAGCCTCTAAAAGGCTAATCTGATATTGATCTTCAAATTTCTATCTTCTTGGTAGAAAGCCTTGCCTTTCTCATATTGATCTTCAAGCATGAATTTACTTGGACGAGAAGAAGAATACATGTAACATTAAGGAGTTTAAAGTTAGACCTATATAAAAATAGCATGTAGTCACAAAAAAAAGTGCCATTTCCAATGCATCCTCCTCCAACACTAAAGATTGAATCAACTGTTAAACCCTTAATCAACTATTGCTCCCTTGCTCTGGCAATTAGTATATTGATGGCCTCCATAACTATAATAAAAAAATGTGAGAGAGAGGGTCCTGCCGTCTAAAACCTCTAGGATTATGAAAATATCTTGAGGGGCCTCCATTAACAAGAACCCCTCCCTGAAAAGGAATTAGAAGAGCTACAAGGTAAAACTGAAGAGAACCCCTCTCTTTAGACCAGGGTCCTCTACATATAAAGAAGAAGCTCCCAAGAGATATGTTCATAAACTTTCTCCATACCAAACTTCCAAATAAGACCCCTCATAACCCTCTACATCATGGAGCTGACAACCTAATTAACAATAAAGCTGCACCCAGAATCAGCATACCCTCCAGAAATGCATGTTAAAATTCCCCCACCACACTCCCTATAACTTGATCAAGACTTTTAGCAAGCACCTTAGCAAAAAAGTTTATAGACACAATTGACAATGGTAATGAACCTAAAATCCCAATCTTGCTCACATCCTCAACATTTGAGTGAGAAGCAAAAAGGTCCAGTTGAAACTAGAGACAAAAATTACATTCTCAAGGAATTCCAACAGCAAAGATTAAAGTTCTCATAAACTCTCAATGCTTTTGAAGAAACACCATGGAGATCCAGTAGGCTCTAGAGCTTTATTGCCTTTACAACTTTAAAAGCATAAGGATCTCAACCTCAATGAAAGACCTCTCAATCCAATGTCTCCCCCAATATGCCACGGATCCAAAATCCAAGCCATCCTAGGAAGGGCACCAATCAACTAGTTACTTGTAGAGGTTCTCAAAATAACTTTTCATAGCTTCTCTCATGCCAGTCATTGCACTCAGAGGAATGTCCAATTCACCTCCATTTTTGCCGTAAAAATTGCATCTTATGTTATCACTAGCAAGGCCACTAAAGAACTTTGTATCTGCATTCCCTTCCTTGATCTAGATAGCTCCAGATGTTAACCAACTTTTCTTTGACTCAAGAGTCAATTTATATCCTCTCAACTTGACGTTAGTAAGTATTAAGTGAAATGAAGCCAAGCTCTAATATAATCTTCCTCCTCACTATAGAGTCTATCCATGAGGAGATAAAAAGTGCATACATAATTTATCCATGAGGAGATACAAGTGCATCTGCTTTTTGGGTATGGTTCAATGAGAAAAATAATTTGAAGATGTATTGTCTCTAGATATTAGACACTTAGTTTTGGAGACTTGAAGAAAGGAGAGTGGTTTCCACATACGAGCTACATCTTTGACTTCCCATACTCATTCCACAAACCTTTAGAGGTCTTTTCAGGTATTAAATTTTAGGACCATTTCCACTTTACAAGATGATTAACCAACAAGTGCAAGGGGGTATCACAAATACCGTTAGAAAGTTGAAATGACGTTTATACAGCACAATGAAGTCACATGTTAACACAAGGGTTGGGTCATTATTAGGACAATGATTTTGAAGCAACCTTCTCCATATAAAATGACTTAGGCCATGTTTGAAACAAATGGATTCTTTTTATGTCCTTCGGGGATAGCATATAAAATTGAAACTATTTTGGGAGACTAACTTGGAAATCCATTATTACATTTTGATGGAACTTAAAATGTACTATTTCTTTTTCGGTAGAAATTGATTTGGGGATTCATTCTTTAAAAACAAAAGTTTCCATCTTTTTGTAATTAAAGTAAGTATGAATTTCGAACAGATTCTTAGAAAATAGTTCATTTGTCCCAAACATGGCCAACCAAATTGAATAGCATTAACTGGCTTTCAAAGAACCTATAGAGTTCTTCCGCCCTCGGCGGACATGTACTTGATCAAAGTCAATTTGATGAATATAAAAATGAATTCTCAGCATCATTTCCAGAACCAATTGAAATCATCAGTAACACCATTTCGGCACGAGCCAGAGACCAAAAGAAAAGAACTTGAGAATTCTTACAAAAGGGAAAGAAGTAAAGCCTGAGATTCAACAGACTCAAGGAAATAAAAAATTATAGAAAAAAGTAAGTTAAATTAGCGAAAAAAAAAAATTTACCTTCCTCAAAGCAGTGGCGAGCTCCCCTCGAGTGAAATTAGCAGCAGCCGCGGTAGTCAAAGGGATGCCGTTTCGGAACTGATAGAGAGCCACATTCTTCTGTATGTATTCCGTGAACTGAACTCTGTACACATAACAATATAAGTATAGGTGTATATATACGCCGGTATATGAAATGAGAGAGAAGGAGAAGGGGAGAGGGATTTACCTGTCACCGGGCTCGCCGCTAGCGGCTATGAGCTTGTGGGAGTCGAGGATCATGATCTTGTCCTCGTTCGATTTGTGGACAAGGATGCTGTGCACCGCCGAAGTGTCCGCCGCGACCACGGCGAAGCCATTGCCGACGAGACCAAAGACGCACTCCATTGTCTCCCTCTCTTCTTCTTTACTTTATTACTACACTGTTTCTTACGCTAACCGAATGCATGATTTATAATAAAGTGGGTTCTTTCACTTTTGCCCCAAGAAATCAAAAATCTAATTTGCTACAAGTATATGCAAAAATTAATTTCTTTCTGACCTAGAAATAGCAAATATTCAAAACTGTCTTTATTTTCCGCTCTAAATTGAAAAACCAAACCAAATCAGATTGTTCTATTCGGACTAAACTAAAAGGATTTTTGGCCTAGTTCTTAGTTTAGAATAGATGTGTGCCGAGTAAAATGATTCTTATCCGTCTAGTCTAGTCTAGTTTGTACATACACCTTAAAACTCATGTAGTTATTTAAACATATATGCACCCTAATATAAATGTGTACTAAAGAAAATCTTAATACATTAATACTCCTCTTTGAAGAGTTTTATTGGATATGCCAAATTTAGCCATTAATTCCTCAAACCCTCTTTTATAATGACTTAGTTAATATGTCAGCAAGTTAATCATCTGAACAACTATGAATCAAACTAAAATTGTCTTTCCTTTACCCTTGTTTGATAGCATGATACTTTACTTGAATATTCTTGGTTTGACCATGATTGATAGAATTATTTACTACGTATGAAGTCATTGATTATCAGTCTTGATTACTATTAGATTGGCTTTATGTTGTAGTAAATCTTCTAAGACCTTCCTTAACCATGAGACTTCATTAGTAGCAGCCTTGACAAGTATGTATTCTGCTTCTACTGTTGATTGTATAGCTATCTCTTGTTTTTTAGATATTCATTTGTGCTTTTAAAATCATCAAGGCATCTTATTAAATCACTCTTCAAAAAACCTTCATGAATTCTATGATTTGCTTGCATACAGTTGATATCACAATTAATATTTTTTTTAACATATCTTAGGATCCTTTTTGCTGCACCAAAATGCTTCTGACCTAAATCTTGTATGAATCTCAATATGACACTTTTAGTAAACAAAAAATTAGGTCCTGTAGTTATGAGATAAAGTAGACATCCCACCAAACTTATATACAACTTGGAACAAACACTTTTGCCTTTATCTTCTTTTGACAATTTTTTTTATTTATTTAAAACTAATGAAGTAACTATTGATTTACTACTTTCTATTTTAAAATTCTTTAACAATTCTTTGGCATATTTCATTTGAGAAACAAATTTACCATATGAGGATTAAGTAATTTCCATCCCCAAGAAATATGTCATAAGTCCCAAATATGACATTTTAATTACGACTTGCATTCATGTTTGAAATCTACAACAAGTTCTCCATAGCTCCCTATAATCAACAAATCATCTATATAGAAATAACAATGTATTTTTCAATTTAATGTATAGAATAGTCTCATTATCATTTATAATAAAGCTATAATTGATAAATGAACATCTACCTTACTATACCATGCTGTTAGGGTTTGCTTAAGGTTATAACCTTTATGAAGTCTGTACACATAATTCTTTTTACCCTCAAATTAAAACCCTTATGTTGTTCAATATATAATTCTTTCT